TAAATCTCTCCTTTAACAAAGTCGGCTGGTGCTCAGCAAGAAGAGCCGTCCCCCTCGAGAAAGCATCGTGTCTCCAGGTAACACCTGAGTGATACCAAGAATGGGAAGGAGGAGGGGTGCCCAAGGAGCCTCAAGCCCGCCTTGTGGAGGGAGAGCTTGATCTGTGCTGCAGGGCCATGCTGGAGGGAGAGGCTGGGGTCCTGCGTCACCTGAGCACCGACCTCAGCTCTGACATTGCCTCTCTGGGCAACCTTAGGCAGGTCCCTCTCATCTCTGGGACCTCGGCTTTCTCATCTGTAAAATAGAGAGGTGACTCAGATGAACCCTAAGGCCCATTCCTCTTCTCTTCATTCTACGGCTCCGTGGCGTTCCCTCTCCTCTGGCCTCAAATGCTTGGGGGTCTTGGCCAACTCCCATCTGACTCTCTCCAGACAGGTCCTATCCTTACCCTCCACAGTTCAGAGCCCATCCTAAGATTTCTTCCAACATATTGTCCCCAGCTCTGTCATGTGTGTGTTCTGAGAAGCCTCATTCTGCCTGCTCCTTTCAGGGCCTTGACCTCTCGGGGACTGGCTCTCATGGGTCGTGTGTCCCCGGTGCCTAGAACAGTGCCAGGCACACGGCCAGAGCTCTGGTTCCTTGAGCCAAAAACCAGACACAAGTTGGCATCGCCCTACTCACCTTGCCGCTCCCCCACCCCGGTCTCCTGGCCGAGGATGCTCACAGCCAGGGCATGGAGCCTCTGGCTTCCTTGGGGACAGAGAGGAGCATTTGCCTTTCCTTGGGGAGCTCTGAAGCCCACCAGTTCCCAGGCACTCATGCAATGGGCAGCCTCGGGGCCAGGTCATCCTGCCACCGCAGGGCAGCGTGGTGAACACTTTTCTGTCTCCTGCTTTGAAGTGTTTGCTTAAGTCACTGGGCTGCTCCGGCCAAAACATGATCCTGCCCACACTCTTGGCACAGGCCCCGCACGGGGCACACAGCAAGAAGCCAGCAGGTGCAGATGAGACCAGAGGCCCAAGGATGGACAGAGGTGGCAGAATGAGTCTCCTTCTTGAGGGTACAGCCTCAGTTTGCTAATCTGAAAACTAGCTTTTCCTTAGCTGGACCAGCTCAAGGGTGAGGTGTGTCAGGAGGGTACTTTGTGAATACTTAAGATTTATCTGCATAACTCAGTAAATCCCCAAACCCTGTTTGGTATGAATAAGTGAGGGTGCGTGTGCGTGTGTGTGTTGAGATGTGTGGAAGAATAGGGTTGGAGGATGGCCAAGCTCTGGATCGGAGGGCAACACAGAGATGTGCTTTAAAGCGGAGAAACTTGGACGGAATCACAAGTCAGAGGGCTTGGGGACAAGCTGGAAACCCCTTCTACAAATAATGCTTCCAGGGGCAGCCCCCATCCTGCTTCTTCCTGGGTCTAGCACTCGGGTCTCCAGGCTCTGGTCACCGCGGGCCCTTTGTGTCCCCTCCTGGGGGACAGCTTCCCTGCCCTTCCTTCCCTCCTCGAGGGCTGAGCCAGGTGCCTCTCCTCTGCATTCTCGCAGCATTCTGTGTTCCCATGGGACAACGGTCTTGTCACCTCCTTGCTTCCCCACCAGAGTGAGACCTTTTCAGGGCAGAGGTTGTGCCTTATTTTTCTCGGTATCCCCAGGACAAGAACCTGGCACTCACTAACAGTTTTTAAGTGAATGAATGGATGAATGAATACAGCTTGCAAATGTTGGGGTGGGGGAGGAGTAGGTTGCTACCAAGGAGACTCTGTATTGCTCCAGAGACAGGTATGGTGTGGATGCTCACCTGCTTTCACCATGAAAAGCAGACGATGATTCAACAGAGCTCCAGACTGAGTTGCATTGGATGTTAATGTGTTCTTTGCCCCTCTCTCTTTTTTTCTGAGCCTCTTTTTCTCTGTATTTCTATTTCTGCTATCTGTCTGTGTGTCTCTCTGCATCTTTGCTATCCCCCCACAAGCCCTAACTCCGCCCCACAGTTTAATTCTATCCAAGATGCCCTTTGAGCCATCGGCCTCTCTCCCTCCTGTCCTCTGCTGCTCTAACCTCTGATCTGGCTTCCTCCTTCCTAGGTCTCCCACCCATGACTAGTCCCCAGATTCTGTCCATCTCTCTTGGTGACTTCAGAGGAACCCCTGGGCTCACCTATCCCTCCTGCCCCATTATGCAAAATCTACCTGCCCAGAATTTTGCTGAGACAATAGGAAAAGGGCTGGGGGGGGAGAGCCAACAAGCTCCCAACCCCAGAAAGTGTTCTGGAGCCCCCAGCACCTTCATCCAGGTTACCTTGGGGGATACGCCTGAAAGGGAGGCTGAAAGTGTCTCAAAGGTGGGGTCTTGTATGAGGTTTCATCCTTAGCTCTGCAGGTTCAAAAGTTAAAGTGACACAATGGACTACGCACAGCATTTGAAGCCAGAATACCCAAGTTAGAGTCTTGCCTCTTCCGTCCAGGTCTTTGTGACCTTGGGAAAGTCACTTCAGTCAACCTCAGTTTCCTCATCTGAAAAATGAGAGCAATGTGCCTACATCACATGGTTGTTATGAAGATTAAACCAGATAACCCATGTGAAACCCATGTGAAAGCCAAGTGTTACTACAGAAAGTCAGTCAGACTCAGGGGAGATCAACTCACATTTACAAAACTCACACTAGACCAACTGTTAGACCAGAATGCCTGCGGTCGTTTAAAAGAGAGACATGTACCTGCAGGTAGCCCCAGATGCTCTGATCAGTTGGGCAGTGCATTCTCTGCTCTGAAGGGACCAAATTACAACTGGAAGTTTCCCTGGCAGGCATGGGATCTCAGCAAGGGGACTCAGTTGTTTGAGCTTGATGTCCACTGTCACCTGGCTATAGGGAGAGCTCGATGACTCATCTGCTTTCTAGGAATTGCCTGCCCAAAGTTTAGAACATGTCAGGCTACCCACACCACTGGACAATACTGGAGACATGTGGACAAATTCTTGCCCTTTGGCTCTGCTTCCTTTAAAACTCCATCATACAGTCATTCATCAATCCCATAAGTCTACACTGAGCTCCTACTGAGTGCCAGACCCTGGGCTACATGGTAGGGATACAAAAGAGAATGGACAGGCAATGCCCCGCCCTCCTCCTGGAGTCCACAGTCTTTGGAAAGAGACTGACAGTTGAACGTGTAGCTACCATCAGGGGGATCAGTGTGTTGTTACCACGGTGTTGTGATCAGTGTGTTGTTACCATGGTGACAGAGAGGGAGCCGTGGGAACAGGGCTGCCAAGCCCGTGCAGGGGCCTGCGGAAAGGTCCCTGGAGGAAGTGTCCATGCACACATCCCTCCTCCTGTAGGTGACAGGGCATGCTTGGGTGGCTTGCACGCTAGCTTTCTTCAGCCATGCTCAGGCCCCTGGCTACACCCTGACAACTCTGAGTGACCTCGGGTGTTTCCTAGTCCCCACAAGCCACACAGCTATAAACTCTCCCTTGGGCTGGGCTTGCAGACAATTCACCCTTTCAGTCACTCAAGAAATATTTATTGTATCCCTATTACATGCTGAAGCTAGTTCATTTTGCCTTCCTAGGGGTGTTTTTACCCTCACTCCCAGGGGTGCCCCACTGAAGCCCCCTGTACTGATTCCAGCCCACCTCAGAGCCGCTGTTTTCTTCTGGAGAGATGCAAGGACAATTCAGGACTAGGGCAGTGCTGCTCCAGAGGTCGCAAAGGAAGGGGCTCCTGGCATTGGGGGGGACTCTCTCTCCCGGGAGAAATGTCCAGACACTCCCCCAACCTGCCTATCCAACTTATGAGGCTCTCACACAGTGCTCAACAGCCACAGGATAGGCAGGCAGCTCCGACTCAGCCAGCAGGCAGCAGCCTGGGCAGAGCCAGGACCCAGGGGTACATTAATTCCTGGAAGTGACAGAAGCCTATGAATTAGAGGTTTGCTGGCCTTCAGGTCACCTTACATGTAATTGTAAGTCCAGCTTCATGAGCTCCTTCACCATATCCCAAACCCCCGTGCTCCCCCTGCACCCTACCCGGGACCTTAGGAGGGCGAGGAATACTTTCCCTATTGCCCTAGTGGACAGACCAAGGTGCAGAGCTTACAAGTGACTTAAGGTTGGGGACAAAACTGGGAACCAGGTCTCCACCACAGCCCCAAACCTCCCAAGTGCCCTGAGGGCCTCCTAGACATGGCTCGTCCCCTTCGTCAAGGGTGCTCAGAGGTCTACCGTCCCGTCCCCCCCACCCCCCCGCCCCGACCCCCGATCTCCAACCTTCAAAGCAAGCAGCCCGAGGACCCCACCCCTCGGGGGGCCTCAATGGGTCCCATTGTCCTAGAGGCTATTTGGCTTGACCTCAGCCCTGTAAGCAGCAGGACAGCAAGCTCAGAGAGGGGTCTGCCTTGTCCCCTCCTCAGCCTCCGCTGGCCGCCTTGGGGGAGCCTGTGGAGCAGGGGCCCCGCTGAATGTGACCTATTGTCTTCGGGGTGGATTTAGGAAGTGCCAAGCTCCCATCAAACAGCCCTGCTCCTCAGGTGAAACAAAAAAAGGGCTGTTCATTTGGGACCTTTTCCCCCTTATCTCCTTTTCCTATCTCCTCAGGCTTAGCTATGGTGTAGTGTTCAAAACCACTTCCCCTCGGAGCCAATCAGAAGCCGGCCCCGCCGTGGCCCTGAGGTGAGGGTATTTATAAACGCCTCCCTGGATTATCTGGGCAGAGCCCTTCCGCACACCTCTGGAACACCTTTCAGCTGCCCGCTCCCCAGGCACACCTGCAGCCCTGCCCAGCGGCCCCCTCACCCGCCGGTAAGCCCCGCCCAGGCCATGCCGCCGGGCTGGGGGTCATCCCTCGAAGAGGGTGGGCGCTGGGGGTACTGAGAGGAGGGATGACAGGAGCCAACCGGTTGTGGGGGTAGGTTGGTTGCCAATCTGAGCACAAGTGGCTAGGGCGCTCCAGCCCCTGAGTGTGAGAGCAGCCCCAGCTCTTCACCTCTGGAGGGGGGTCCTCACCTCCATGTAAGGACCTCAGCTGCAAAGCTGGAGGCTGAAGGGAGCTTGCAGGATGGGAGGTCTGGTGGAGAAGTTCTGCCAGACACCAAAACGGAGTGAGGCGAAACAGCCAGCTCCTTTGCAAGGGCTTCTTTGCTCTGCAAAGGAGAGAACAAAAATGCTGGACCCTCCTCGGCACCAGCCTTTGAAGGGGCTGGATGCACCTCTCCCTTTTCTTTTCAAGTCTTGGAAGCAAGAAGCTCTTAATGCTTGGCTCACCGGCCTGCTCTGCGAGGCTGTCTCCCCCTCCTTCTGCCCCCCCCGATGTCCTCTTTCACTCGTTCACTTCTCCACCAGCTTGGGGTACCTGCTTGGGCTGCACGAAATTTCATTTGTCCCCATTAATCCTGAGAAATTGGAAGAGGTGGAAGGAGGGCAAACCGAGGATTAGGAGAGGGCAAGCCAGGGGCCAGCTCCCTCAGGCAGGGGGAGCAGGACCCAGGGGACCAGTGTCCCAGGTGAATGCTTTAACACAGGAGGAGTTGGGCTAGGACAATGGTTTAGGCCAGCTCCACAGGCTTCTGGCCTCCCAACCCCTCATCCTGCAGCTCTGAGGGATCCCAAGTCACACTCAGGAAGTGCTCCCGTTCCTCAAAACCAGCTCACGGGGTCCCCAGCCTAGGTCAAGCAAAGCTTTTATCATCCTAGCATAAACTCCCACTTACCCTTGGCCCCAATGGGTCTGAGCACCAGAAGGAAGAGTGACTGTAAGGGTGTGCCCCTCAGAGTGGATGCTGTCCCAAGCAGAGCAGCCCCATGAGGACTATGCCCCTGGATGGCCTCCTCACACAGACACCCCTCTCCCAGAGCCCCGCAGCGCTCCCCACTCCCTCCCCTCGGATCTGGCATTCAGACCTGGAAAGAGCTTCCTCGGGCCACACGGAGACCAGCACACAGGCCTCCTCCGCACCAGGATGGCCTTCCCAGGCACTTGCCAGGGCCCGGTCCACTACTCTGGAGGCTCATTTGCAGGAAACCCTGGGGGCAGAGTCCGACTCTTTTTCTCTCTTAATGTCCAGAGTCTTCCCAGGCATCAGCTTGTAGTGGGCATTTAGAGAACGTGTGTGGAATTGAAATAAACAGCCAGAGTCTGACCCCAGGGAGCCCCCTGGAGGAATGAGGGATGGCACAGCGCTGACCGAGCTCTGGACTCCTTGAACTAGAGTGGCCCAGGCCTTCTCTGGTCTCCTCATCCACTCACCGGCTTCCAGGCAAGACTAACCCTTGTGTCCTTACAGACATCTCGGAGTCTAACCTTAAAGGACCATTTCAGGGAGCCCACGACCTTGGGCAGATCTCACTGCTGGACCTTATCTCCTCAGCCCAGCACCCACGCCCCCTGCCCAGTAAGGAAAGCAGAGAGGGAGAGGAGAGCAGGCTTGGAGATGAGGAGTGGGCATTCAGGGAGTGGTGCAGGGAATCCCTCCCCTACGGGAGACACCAGCCCTGGAGCAGCCCAAGCGCAGGGAGGCAACTCTGCGACAGCTTGTCCTCTCCCGACATTACTGATGAGGAATTGGGGGGCGAAGAGGGGTGGGAATTGTCCCCAGAAACACGGGGACAGTAGAAATAAAAGCAGTATTGATAACATGCCCTGGAGACCCACAGGCCTCTGCACTGTCACTCCAGACACGGTCCTCAGCTGAGACCCAACCCTCCTATCCCAGCCCCGCTCCACTCCAGCCCACCCGGCCACTCAGAGGTGGCCCTTTCCCTGTGGTTCCCACCCTGGATGAGGCGGGGAGGAACCAGCAGCTAGAGCAAAGGGGAGACTCAAAGTGACCTTTCCTTTCCCCGGAACACAGCGATCTCCAGGCAGGGACCGGTGATAAGAAGCCAGGGTGGGTTGGCCAAGCCAGGGCGCTCCGTACCTGGCACATGCGCAAGTCAGAGAAACCCCCCCCCCACCACATACACACACCAAGCAGGGCTGAGGAGGAAGTCAGCCTGGGCCACAATGACAGGATCACCTCCAGACCTGACCGAAACCCCACAAGCGGGCTCCCTGCCTCCCTTGCCCGCCAGATGTCCTGCCCTCATCAAGAAAGATTTTCTTCTTTTCCTCTCACCAGTCCCAGGAAATTTTGGAGGACAAGAGTGTGTGGCAGGGTTGGGGGATGTGTACAGGGGCAAATAGGAAAAGGAAGGCAGAGTGACCGGCCTGAGTTTGCAGAGCAAGGAAGAATCCACCAGCGTAACTGTAGTAAAAGTAGCAGTAACACAGGTAGGATCTGCTGCACGCTGACTGCGGCCGGGCCTTCTGTGGAGTGACCTGGGCATGAGGCCCAAGCCCATCTCTGCCCACAGTCTTCTGACGGTGCAGACAGACCTGGTCAGAAACACGACTGAGACGAGATTCCAGGGGGCTGTCTTTTGTGTGAGCTCACTGTGGGGGAATTAAGATTCTGATGAGGGGTCCTGGAGAAGCCCAGGAGGGGATCTGATCTGCTCTGGCCTGTGCCCCCCCTACAGAGTCCATTTCCCCTTTGTCCACTCCCCCAACCCCCCTCCTCCGCTGCCAGCTCCTTAGCTCTGCAAGACCCCTGGAGACCCCTTGCCCCAGATGTGACCCCATTCCCCTGCCCAGCCTTGGGAACTGTCCATACCCCTCTTCTGCGACCCTCTGCTCTTCCCCTCTCGCCCCTACTTCTCTTAAGCCCCACAGCACCCCCCTAGGTCTTTCCAGCAATTCAGGACCTGCCCCTCCTGTCCTTCACAGTAGGGGAGGAGCAGGGGCACCCTTTTGTTCCTCAGTATTGTCACACGGCACCTGCTATTTATCCCAATGCCGTGGGGGATGGGAGGCGGTGGAGGGGCTGACACTGAGGGAGGCAGGGTGGGGACACACACCCACGGCAACAGAGCACTCGACTTCTTTCAGCGACGCTGACATCACTCCTCAGGATGGCATGTGTGTGCGTGTGTGTGTGCGTGTGTGTGCGTGCGTGTGTGTGTGCGTGCGTGTGTGTGCGTGTGTGTGTGTGTGTGTGTGTGTTTAACCAAGGATCAAGTCGTCAGGTTCCCTACACCTCTTCCTTTCTGGCTGCCTCTTTCATCTTCTACCCCTAACGTGGCATTGTAGGAACTCTCTCTGAGGGTCCCTGGGGGCCTCTTCACTCTCAGAACCCCGGGAGCCCATCTAGGAGAGGCAGGGCCTCCTCCCCACACTGGTTCACCCTGTCCCCCTCCCCACCCCGCTTTCCTCCTGGCCTGAAGGACTGGCTAGGATGAAGTAACCTCCCCTCCTAAGTCCCACCCCACCTCAACCCCTTTGCTTGGAATTAGGAAATGTGACCAGGGCACCTCCTCACCTGAGGGGGGGCCGCAGCTCCTGTGGCTGCAGATTTGTATGCCTGTCATTGTCCTGGGAAAGCTGAGGCCAGGAGAGGAGTCAGAACCCACAGAGAGCCCTCAAGATGAGAAGCAGAACCCAGAAGTCCTGTCTCATCAGCTGGGGTGGAAGGTCGCCAGAGTGGTCCAAAAAGGGCACTCTGGATGCCACTCAGAGGACAATCCCCAGAGAGCAGGACCAGGGTCATCCTTGGAAGGTCTGGGACCCTTTCAACAGGAGCACTTGAGCTGAAGTTGAAGGCCTGGTTCAGATTCCCATACCAGCCTCTCTCTAAGACTCAGTTTCTTCATCCACAAAGCGAAAGGACTGGACCAGCCTAGTCCAGGTTCCCTTCTGCGGAAAACTTCCTGAGTCCAGCTGACTGCTGGGTTCTCGTTTTTTTGTACATAGCACAAACTCTGGGTTGGGAAAAACCCCAGGTTCAACACCCTATTTCTGGAACGCAATGGGTAGAGCAGGTGGGGAAAGGGACAGACTTGCCTTCCAGTAAAGCAAGGGAGCTTTTCCCCTCTGTTAACCTGTGTAAGCGGGAACTCCCCAAGCAGCTCGTCCCTGTCAGTAGGAAGCCAGCCCACAGGGGCAGAAACCGTCCTGAGTCATCCACCTGCGCTCTCCGGCACCATCGCCTCCTTTCCTCCCTCCCCTCCCTGGAAGTGACAGGCAGGAGTGGGCAAAGCCAACACTGGCATACAGGTGGAGAGGTCCAAGTAAAGGAGATCTGAGGACACAGAGATCCCCGGGCCTGGGTGGCCAAGAAACGCTTCACAGAAGAGAAGGGAGAGGAAGGCAGGAGGAAGGAGGAGAGGGCGGAGGAGGAACAGAAGCAGGTCTTAAGGATGGCCAGGTCAGAAAGGCAGAATGAGTCAGGGCATTCAGGTACGGAGGAGAGTGCAGACTTTCCGGGAGTCTCCGGCAGAAAGCCCCGGATGTTAAACTGAGCCAAGCTTGTTTGGGGGTGCTGGACGGTGCAGGGGAACCCAGCTGAGAAACCTACCGAGTCCACCAAAACAGAGCCAGGTGGTAAAAGGACAAATATGACAAAGTAAGGAGTTTGGGCTTGATCCTCCTGGAAACGAGGAAGCTGAAGGTTTCTGAGCAGGGGGTGTGGGCTGGGGAAGTGAGTTAGACGGCTAAGGCAATAGCCCAGGTGCGAGATAAGACCTGAGGGAGTGGGGGACAGGAGAGACACGGGAAGGAAAAAGCAATGGGATTTGATGAACAACTGAATGTGGAGGCTGTGGGGAGAGAAAGGGCAGGGACAAGTGTGGGTGACAGGAAGAAACGTGCCACTGAGGAAATGCAGAGAACGGGCTGGCAGGGAGCCGCGTTGGCAGGGCTTAGCAGGATCAGATGTTAACATCCCCCTCCCCACAAACACACCACCAGAACTTAAGCCTTTGACAGCAGCCAGGGGAGGGGCTTCAGGGATCACTTCCTGCTGGCTGGCTTGGAGGCAAGATCTCCCATCATCCCTTTTCCAAAGGACTCTCCTCTCTGGTTCAGCCCCCTTGAAAATTTCGGCTATTCCTTTGCAAGTGGTCTCTTCAGTGGCCCAGCATAGACTCCCCAAACGACGAGTCTGTCTCTGAAGCTGGGCTGGAGCTATGGGTCCCTCCAGAGGGTCACACTCGCCCTCATTGCTCCCAAAGGGCCAGCCAGGCAAACCACCTGGAAAGCCAGACCCCTTCAGCCCCGGGGAGGGTGGGGAGGGGAAGGAGAGTGAGGCCACCCAGCCTCACTGGAGGGTGAAGGGCTGGAAGCCTCCGAATAGTCTCTCCTAAGAGGAAGGATGCACCCTCCCATCTTAATAACAGTAATCATCGCTGTAACCGTGGACTGGGTGTCCTTGGAAGGCCAGCCACTTCACACTCGTGATCTCATCTAATCCTCATAGCAACCACCGGGGACTGTCATTACTCCCATTTACAGATGAAGAAACTGAATCTCTGAAACCCAGGTCCTTCTGGCTCTAAAACGTGTGGTGTCTTCCTTACGCCACTCTGCCTCTTACTTCTCCCACTGAAATGTCTCATATGCCATTGTTCTTACTCATTTTTGCCCATGTCTTCTCCAAAACACCATTTATTGATTCACTCAACAAACATATATCGAGCACATACTAAGCACCAGGCAAGGGGCCAGGTACAGGTGCTTCACCCTGGGCAGGCAGGTTCATCTGCCACTTCCCTTCCAATTGGGTATCATCCGTGAGGTTTGGCTGGCCATCCAACTCTTGCTTATAGGTCCTCCTGGACCATGGCTCCTGGGACCGAAAGAATGGAATGCACCAACCTAGCTTATGTCAGCTTGGGCACAATTTTATGAATAATCACAACTCCCATTTGCCTCCTTTTTTACATCTTACATAACCCTTTCTTGTCCCTTTATTCATTCGATCCTCAAAACCCCACGAGATGGACATGTTACCCCCTTTTGCTGACAAGGAGCCTGCAGCCCAGAGAGGGAGCGCCGCCCCTTCCACCTCACCGCAAAGCCAGGACTAGAACCCAGGTTTCTGGCCCTCAGCCAACGCACTTTTCATCTCTCCCCCCATTTTCTTTTTCTTTTCTTTTTTTTTTTTAAGATTTTATTTTTCCTTTTTCTCCCCAAAGCCCCCCGGTACATAGCTGTGCATTTTTAGTTGTGAGTCCTTCTAGTTGTGGCGTGTGGGACACCACCTCAGCATGGCCTGATGAGCGGTGCCATGTCGGTGCCCAGGATTCAAACCGGCAAACCCCTGGGCCACCAAATCGGAGTGTGTGAACTTAATCACTCGGCCACGGGGCCGGCCCCCTTTTTTTTTTTTAAGATTTTATTTTTCTTCGCCCATTTTCTTTCCCACGAAAAGTATCAACCAGCCTGCTCCCCTCTGATAACCCCCATGCACCCAGGTTCTCCCCTATGAAGTGAGGGGCATTCCTAGCCCCCTGTGCGGTGTCTCACTTTCCACCCCATTTTGCCAAACTGGCCACAGCCACCCCACCCTCCCCACCCCGCAAATGTACATCCTCCCTCTGAGACTGCCTCACCTCTGTCCTCTCCCCCATCTTCCTCTGAGGCCCTCCAGGCTGCAGGAGGGGGACCGGTATCGGAGGAGGGAGAGGGCAGGCTCCCACAGGGAGCTCCTCTGGGCCTCAAGGGCCCTAGCACTTAGCTCTGCCCTGCTCAGCTCCCAGAACGTCAGCAAGGTTGCGCAAAAAGCAGGGAGGAGAGAAACACCATACACAAGGGTGGGGGAAAGGTTAGGCACAGGAAGGCGTGGGAGAGCCAGCTGCCAGACCATCCTGATTTCCCCAAACACGCCATTGTCTCCCCCCACACTCCGGGAAAACTGTTGGTGAAGTCCTAAGCATCTCCTTCAAGAAGGGTCCTCCTGAGGTCACCTCAGCCATCCCCCTGCCTCTGGGCAGGCTGTTTTCTCTATTTCTTCCAAGCTGAAGGGCATGAGCCTTTCTGCCAGGGAAACTGAGGCCTGAGGAGGAAGAGGGGCTTAGCGGCACCAGGACTGGGGGGTCGGGCAGGGGATGAAGCCCAGCTGTGACTCCTGCCCTTGTGCTCCCACCTCCTTTTTGTCTGGTGTCCGGTGGGGGTGGCAGTGATGTCACAGGTGTGGAGTGCCAGCCATCTGCCGGGCACCAAGCAAAACAGCCAGGGCAAGTGTGTGCATCATCTGTGCCTGAGAAGGAAGGCCACCAAAAGAAGTGAGTCTGACGGAAAGACTTGGAAGAGGGAAGGGAGGCACCTTGCTGGCTGGGGGCGGAGAAGACCAGAATAAAACTCTGCTGCAGCGAGGACTAGCAAGAGAAGGCCCAAGCTGGCACAGGGGAGGGATGCCCCTCATCATCCCTACTCTGCTTCTCCCAAAGCTCGTAAATGCCCCAGACATGAGCCAGCCCAGGCCTCGCTACGTGGTAGACAGAGCCGCATACTCTCTCACCCTCTTCGATGACGAGTTTGAAAAGAAGGACCGGACATACCCAGTGGGAGAGAAACTTCTCAACACCTTCAGGTAAAGTGGCCCAGAGCCCAGACCCCTCTTCCTCTGCTCTCCAGCAAAAGCCTCCCAGCAGCAGGGCACAGTTCCTGCACCAGTACCCCTAAGACGGGCCTTGGGGAAGCCCTGGGGAGGGGAGGTTTGGAACCCTGAATTTAAGATCCTACAACCTTGTCTGTATTGAGACCCCCATGGGGGGTGAGGAGTAGGAGCAAGGACCAGCGCAGCTTCAGAAGAGTGTAGGGCATCCCAGCCCCCAATGAGGCCTCCCCACACTCTCAGTCCACTCAAGTCTCTCTTGAGTTCTCAAGGGAGCTGGAGGTGGACATGCTGTGCGTGGGGGGCGGGGAGCATCAGAGACCCTACTTCAATGTCCTCTCCCCTCCTTATCAAGAAAAATCTGAAGCCACCACCACCCCATGCCCTTTGTCCTCTTTCCCTCCTGGATGCTCCTTCCTTCTCCTGGCCCAGAGAATGCCCAAAGGCGGCCCCTAAATTCATGGGCTCCCCTAAGGGGTACCTACCAGGATGTGATCCTACCAGCCCCTAGACTCTTTCCACTCTTAGATCCCTGGAACTGTGCTGGTGGGTAGTGAAATCTCACCTCTAAGGAGGGGCTCCTCAAGGTGATCCATACCCATACTCCGGAGCCCGAGGCCACCAGTGCCACCTTCCCCCTTCCCAGACTTTTGGCAGACCTTGCTCAGGCCTCACTGTGAGCTGGCTTGCTCTTCCTCACTCCCCTGGGGAAACAGCTGATTCAGTTACCTGGATCCAGGTCACTGGCAATGGCTGAAGTGGAGATGCAGGTGGAACTGGTTCAGGCCAGGGGAATCACCCACTTGAGTCTTCACTAAAAGCTCCGGCCCAACCCTACTTCACCTGGGAGGCTCCATCTCTGCCAAGGCCTTGGTGCCCAGTGTTCAGGCACTGTCCCCACAGCTGTATCCTCGGACAGGTGGGTTCCGCCAGCCTTGATGCCCAGAGTTTAAGTTTGGGTTTTTTCTGTGCTGAAGAGATGAGGGTATCTGCTGTTGTCCCAAAAGATTAGGATGACGAAAACTATAAAGAGATGCAGGGAACTAACAATTCCCGTGAGGCTGGCACGAGAGCCTTGAACGGTACGTGGCACCCAAAAGGTGCGCCAATAAATATTTGTTTAATGAGTGAATGAATGTCTAGAAAGCTAATCCCTCTGTCCACTTCCCTCTTAGCCTCTGGAGCCTCAGTACAGCTTCTGTTTCCAGCTCTTCTCTTAGGCTTCAGATTGCTTTGCTCAACATGTGGCAGGCTTGAAGCAAGGCTGGGCATGGACGAGCCCTCCACTGGGTTGTTTTTCTTCCCCTAGCCAGCTCGCTATTCATGGTTCCCGTTTTCCCTGCCAGCGACAAACCTGAGAGAGTTCCTGCAGGGCTAGTTTCTCTCTTAGGAAAAGGTTTTAGAGATGCTTTAAGCTATTTACCACCAGTCCCACTTGCCGTCCACCATCTCAGGCATTGGAGAGGTACCCACCTGCCCCAAAGGAGACCAGGGAGTCAGATGTTGATGGTGATGCCGTTCCACGGAATGTCGGTGGGGAGAGAAAATCTGCCCAGACTTCACAGGGGACAAAGCATCATCTGTGTTGATTTCGGTCTTGGGTGACATCCAGGGGACCCAGTGTTGCTATTGTTGAGCAACGGCAAAGAGGAAGAATTGGTGCTGGGCAGGAAAGGAGGCCTAATCAGAGCAGGCCAGTGAGTCACCGGATGGGCCCTGAGTATCTGAGTTCCCTCAACTGGGAAAAGAAAAGCCTCCCACCCCTTCCAGTCATCAATTTGCCAGCTGTCACCCTGAGTGAGTAGGCCCTTGTTCCTACCGCTCCCGAGTCCCTCTGAAAGGACCTCAAGATGTTCAACAAACAGGGCAGGGATCAACTCTCCCCACCCTGCATTGACCAACGAACAGCTCCCCAGGCTTCCCTCCCCGGCGGATGAACTAACAGGGGAAAGAGGTCAGGCCCTGAAATCACCGCACGTAACAGGGTGGGTCAGCAGAGGTGCACCCTCAGGGACAGTGGAGAAAGATGGCAGCAGCTCCTACTTGGGCCGAGTTTCAATACCAGCCCATCCTCTCACTCATTCATTTATTCAACAAATATTTACTAAGCACCCCAGTGTAATGCGCAAGGTAGACAAAGACGAGTAAGAGAGCCAGACTTCTCACCATGGTGGGTCTGCTGTCTAGAGAGAGAGAGAGATGAAAAACACGTAACTACAACACAGGGTGTGCGGAATGCTGTCGGAGCCAAAACAGGGAGCCCGGGCCTGTGTTCAGTCAGATGAGAAAGGCCATCTGGCGTGGGGACCAGACTTGACCTCTTGGAAGGCTAGGCTGCCGCAAAAGTCCATGACTTTAACCCAAGCCTTGTAGACTTCCCAGACCTCCAGCTGATACCCTGGGTGTGTTGATGACACCCAGGAGAAAGTCCCCGTGTCTTCTCCTCAGGATCCCCACACACCGCACCGTGCGTGTGCTCGCTGGAGTTTGAAGGAATGAGTGAATGAATGAGTGGATGACCGGGAACAGGGCACTGTAATCCCTCACTGACTCTGCGTGTCTAGCCATGCAGTGCTGACTGGAAACCTACACTCTTCCCTCCAGATGTTCCCCAGCTAAAGTCAAAGCTGCGGTGTTTGGGCTGCTCCCCGTGCTCTCCTGGCTTCCCAAGTACAAGATCAAAGACTACCTGGTCCCCGACCTGCTTGGCGGCCTCAGCGGTGGATGCATCCAGGTCCCCCAAGGTGAGGGGTCCCCTCGGCCAGGCCTATTCCTCTCCCTCCCGCCCACCCGTAGCCCCCATAGCCCAGCCGTGCCGCGAGCCTCCAGCCTCTGTCCCCTGCAGGCATGGCGTTTGCTCTGCTGGCCAACCTCCCTGCAGTCAACGGCCTCTACTCCTCTTTCTTCCCGCTCCTGACCTACTTCTTCCTGGGGGGCATACACCAGATGGTGCCAGGTGAGGCCTCTCCCCTCTCAGCAAGCGGGATGACCTGGACCACGAGGACGGGTGGGGTGGCAAAGGGCGTTCGGGTGATTTTCCATCTGAGTCCCCTCTAGTTGGTACTGGTGTTCAACCCTGGAAAGACTGTCACTGTGAGTGTCAGTCCCAGGTCCTCTGTGACCTTGGAGAAACCACTTAGCTTCCGCACACTCAGTTAGCATTACCTGTCCAGTCTCCCTCCCTGGACTGTGCGGAAGACTTGGCAGAACAAGGTATACCATATGCCACAAAGTGCTAAACAGATGGGAGAAATCATCATCTAACTCCCAGGCTGGACCCTGCAGGCCACTGGAGGGACTTTTTGAGCTCTCTGGTGCAGAGCGAGATGGAGAAAACGGCCTGGCCACAAGGCCTGTTTCTGGGTCAGGCTCTGCTTGCATTTCCAAGCTCATTTCCTTACGTGTCCAATGAAATAAGAGTTGAGGTGAAAGCCCCTTGAAAAGTGTAGCTCGTGGTGAGATGTGAGTGGTGGTTATGCTGGAGAGGAGCCCTGGAGGCATGGGGCTCCATCCCCCTGGGGGTCGGGAGCATCCCTGGGCCCCTTTCTGGTTTTCGTGGGTGTGGTCCAAACTTCTGACTTCTGCCGGCTGGGTGGGCACTACAGGTACCTTTGCCGTTATCAGCATCCTGGTGGGTAACGTCTGTCTGCAGCTGGCCCCAGAGTCGAAATTCCGGGTCTTCGACAATGCCACCAATGAGAGCTACGTGGACACAGCGGCCATGGAGGCCGAGAGGCTGCACGTGTCAGCAACGCTAGCCTGCCTGACTGCCATCATCCAGGTGAGGGGACAGCCCCAGCTCAGGAGGGAATCAGCCCGCCCCACCCCTGCCTCAAAGCCCCAGTTTTGACGTTAAAGTTGATTTAGGGCTCTACCTCCTCCCTCTTCCCCATTCCTGGGGCCACAAATGGCCTTGAAAAGTCAGAGCATCTCCTCCTCTGCCTCCAGCAGGCCCATGAGACCAGCATCTGCACCTAATAAAACTGCCCTGAGTCAACCACCGTCAGACTCATGGCCTCTCTCCACTGCCCTTTCCAGTGCCCACCTCTCTGCCAGCACAGTTTTCCGGTTTCTCTAAGACCCCTGGTTCCCCCCAGCTTTCTCTGCTCCACGCCACAGCATCACCTGTGACATAAACTGCTTCTCCACCACATGCAAAGGACTCTGCTAGGAGTTATGAAGGGAACACGGCATGACAGAGGCAGGAGCAGGAAGCAACCTCAGAGGGCACCTTTCATCCATTCACTCATTCAGTTAATATTTTTTGGTTGTTTCACTGTGCCAGGAACTGAGCTAGGCCCTGGGGATAAAAGATAAGTAAGAAAGAGGCCCAGTTCTCAAGGAGCTCCCAGCCCAGCAGAGGAAGCAGCCACGTCAACAGATAAATTTGTAGGCACAGAGATAAGCAGCATAAGACAACTGTGTACAAACAGCTGTGGGGACATCAAAGAGAGAGTCAGGGCAGGCCTCTCCTCCAGGAGGGGAGGTGACCTTTGACCTGAGTCTCCAAGGATGAGTGGAAGTTGACCAGTAGCCAAATGAACACGGCACGGAAGGACAGGCCAGGCAGAGGGAATGGCACCCCAAAGCACTGAGCCTGAGAGAGTGTGAACTGACCAGGGAATGACAAGGCAAGGAGTTTGGTGTGGCTGGAGGGCAGAGGGCCTTCAAGGGGCAGGCCAGAAAAGAGGCTAGAAAGGTTGGCAGGGGCCAGACAGTGATGTCTAGGGTCTGTCCCCTAAGCAGCAGCTTTGGGTCCAACTGGCAGTTTACAAGGATCATTTGGGCTACAGAGGTGATGGGTGGGAGACGGATTGGAATCAAGGCAGGGGACCTGTTGGGAGACTATGCAGACAAGAATGCTGAGGGCCGAGACCTGGGAGGCGGCCGTGGATATGGGGGTAGACTTAAGGAACATTCCGCCAGGAGCGTTAACAGGGCTTGGTGATAGATTGGATGTGGGAGGTGAGGGAGGATGACTCCCAAGTTTTGGGCTGGCCAACTAGGTGGATGGTGGTGTCATCTACTGAGAGAGGAAACTCTGGAGGAGGGCCAGGTTCATTTTCTAGATGAGGAAACTGAAGCCAGAGGGGTGGGGTGACAAGAGGCCCGTGTCCCAAGGGACTAAAGGTGTGCTGGCACAGTAAAGGGCAAGACAAGGTCACAAGGGGCTCACTCCGCAGAGCTGCTGCATGGAACTCCAGCCCTGAGTTTGGGTCAGGCAGGTGTGCGAGCTGCTGACCCTTCTCGTCTCCCCCCACCCCTCCTCACAGATGGGCCTGGGCTTCGTCCAGTTCGGCTTTGTGGCTATCTACCTCTCCGAGTCCTTCATCCGGGGCTTCATGACGGCCGCTGGCCTGCAGATCCTGATCTCGGTGCTCAAGTACATCTTTGGGCTGACCGTCCCCTCCTACGCAGGCCCAGGGTCCATTGTCTTTGTGAGTCTGGGAACGCACCCCTGCAAATGGGGAGGGGCTCGAGCAGACACATGAGCTTACTGTTTTAAGAAGTTGTGAGCTGCTCATTGTGAGACGTTCTCAAGCAAGAGCTGGCTGACCCATTGTTCAGAGAGGATTCCCAGGGGGTTCCCACTTTGGAAGGGAGGGTCGAACACATGACCTTGAGGGATTGCTGAGGTTCTCTGTGGTGAATCCCTGCAGAAAAGGACATGTACACTCTCCATCAGTTCCCCAATCCAGGGCCTCAACCCCTCCCTGCCTGGGAAGTCATTCCATATGTCTAATCTCCACCCCTCCTCCTTTAGTTTGAATCCTTTCTAGAGAAAGAGAAAGGGAATCTGCACTCCCATCCCAGCATGGACTCCTAACGTGCCCTTTGGGAAAGGGGGTGGACGATGGGATGGTGTTGATGACCAGGGTCTAGAGTCTGCTTTTGTATGCCTCCGTTAGCACTGAGGACGTCCCCGCACTGGATCAGAAACCCAGGGGTGGGGGTGGTATGGGAAGGGGAGGTGGGAGCCCAGGAGCACGGTGCTGTCTCCCCTAGACCTTCATTGACATCTGCAAAGGCCTCCCCGACACCAACATCGCCTCGCTCATCTTCGCCCTCATCAGCGGTGCCTTCCTGATGCTGGTGAAGGAACTCAATGCTCGCTACATGCACAAGATCCGCTTCCCCATCCCCACAGAGATGATTGTGGTGAGGACCCTGCCAGGACTGAGGTGTTGGGGGCCAAGCTGGAGAGGCCGTGATAAAAGGAATCCAGTTCCAGCCAGGGCCAAGGGAACCCCCACCCACCCTCCCCACCCCAACAGGCAGCCGGTGGGGCAGGAAGTCAGGGTGAATCCGTTCCGTGCCCTGCGTGCAGCTCCCACTCTTCCCGCTCCTCAGGTTGTTCCCCCTCAGGGAGGCAGAGGAGTGGGATTCGGGGTCCTCAGAGCACAGGGAGGCTTGGGAGAGGCCCCTGCCCTGGCCCCAACTTAGAGCCAATCCTCATTCTCCACTTTGGGGCTTGCAGGTGGTGGTGGCAACGGCTATCTCCGGGAGCTATAAGATGCCCAAAAAGTATCACATGCAGATTGTGGGAGAGATCCAACATGGGTGAGTCCAGGTAGCCAGGAAGCCTGGCCCCACCCCCACTGCACTCCCCACAAAGGCCTGAGCTCAGAGACTGACATGAGACGAGCCTGTGAAAGTGCATTCTAAACTCGATGGCGCTGAGCTCATGTGCTTTATCACTGTTACACATTATGAAGAAGAGCGACACAACCAGCCAGTGCTGGCTGTTCCATGAACAGTGAGTCTTAACTGCCACTCTCCCCAAAGTCTCATTCGATAGATGCTGTTCAAGCAATGCCTCTCTGATCAGCCCTTTTCTGGCTCTTTGCCTTGTAATAAGGCATCGGCTCTTTTTATACACGTGGAAAGGAAGCCGTTAGGATCAACAAAATCCACTCAGCACCCAGTCTGTGCCACGCTGGGCCTTGGGAGGGCGAGGGCAGTGCAGGTGCTGCAGAGGCGGAGCAGGCAAGTTGGGGCGCTGGGGGGGCTCGGCTCACAGCACTGGGGGGCTGGGCGCTGGGGACTGCTGAGCACAAAGAGCCCAGGATCTGGGCATCAACAAATGAGGCCCCACCACTGACTGGCTCTGTGACCTTGGACGAGTCAGATTCTCTAAGCCTCAGTTTCCTGCTTCATCGACAGGAGCAAGGGTAGCTACCCTCAGCGTTGAACTGAGGATTCAGACTGGAAGGGGTAACTCGTGGGAAGACCTGGTCCACAGTGGGGCCTGGCTGGTCCCCGTGGGTTGATGAAGGCCACAGTGCCTTCCGTCTCCTCACACCCTTGGGCCCTGCCTCCTTTCTGGCTCCTCGGCAGGTTCCCCACTCCCGTGTCGCCTGTGGTTTCTCAGTGGAAGGATATGATTGGCACAGCCTTCTCTCTGGCCATTGTGGGCTACGTCATCAACCTGGCTATGGGGAGGACCCTGGCCAGCAAACATGGCTATGACGTGGATTCTAACCAGGTAGGTCCGGCCACCCCCAGCAGGGCTGATCAGGATGGGCCAGGGCCCACAGAGGCCTGGCAAGAGATATCTTGGGGCTCTTTGGGCTGAGGTGAGGCAGGCTGCAGGCCAGTGGGGAGGGCTCTCTGGCCCCAAGAACTGACTTCTGCTTGATTGGGAGCATAGAGCTTTATAGCAATAGGGTCACTTTCAAGTCCTAGGCCCAAGGTCCAGCTTGCATGGCCAACTCTGTTTGGTCCATACCCTGCTGCCCCAACCTCCAGCTTCTGGTCCTGCCCCTGTCCCCACAGGAGATGATTGCCCTGGGCTGCAGCAACTTCTTTGGCTCCTTTTTTAAAATCCATGTCATTTGCTGTGCTCTTTCCGTCACTCTGGCTGTAGATGGAGCTGGAGGAAAATCCCAGGTGAGTTCTGTACCAGGAGAGTTGGGGAGGGGCGGGAGGATAGCAGAACAATTGCCCCAGAGAAGCCCGGGCACCTGTAAGCTGCTTCTCCAAACTGCCCCTGTCCCTCGTGCCCGCTCCACCAAGGGCAGCCATTGGAAATAAATCGAAAGCAAGAATTTCACCCCTGCTCCCTATTCCCAACTCTCTCTCTGACTAGGTGGCGAGCCTGTGTGTGTCTCTGGTGGTGATGATCACCATGCTGGTCCTGGGATCCTATCTGTACGCCCTCCCCAAGGTAAGAGCCCCGTGGGAGAGCAGAGGCCAGCGAGACTCCAGTAAGAACAATCCCTAAGAGCCGTGTAGCATTGACAGATTACCAAGTGCCATCATTGTCACCCTTTGTCCTGATTACAATCTGTGAAACAGACAATGCAGGTTTTACTCTCCCCATGTTATAGGTGAGGGAAACTGAGGCTGAAAGAGTCTAAGTGATCTGCCCAAGGTGATACAGCTCACCAGTGCAGGGCTGGTCTCAAACTCCAGCCTTCTGAGCTCAGAGCCGATTCCCCAACCAGTGTTTATGGCTAGAAGGGCTCCAGGCATGGCCGTCTGGTGACGAGGGAAGAGAAGAGGGGCAAAGATGGGGCCAGGGTGGGCCCGTGGCTCGAGCACATGTGTGCCTAGGCTAAGACTGCATGCAGAGACTTGGGGGCTCTGCCCTGGGAGGTGTTCTGGGGATCCAGCTGTGTCCTGCCAGGCTCCAGGGTCAGGTGTCTGTAGGAAGGACAGGAAGAAGGGGACATCTCAGGTGACAAGGAACAATGTGCTGCTTCCCCAGTCTGTGCTAGGAGCCCTGATAGCTGTCAACCTCAAGAACTCCCTCAAGCAACTTGCCGACCCCTACTACCTGTGGAGGAGGAGCAAGCTGGACTGTGTAGGTATTGGGCGGCTCCCCGCTGTGCCCCTGCCCTCCTCCTGTCCCTCACCCTGCCAGCTCTCCTCTCCGCCAGCCCTCTGGGTGGCTGCTCCCTAATTAGCATAACCAAGTGTTTAGAACCCCGGTTTTGGAGTGAGACATCCTTTGTTCAAATCCTAACTCGGCCAGCACTGGCCCCATGGCCAATAGCAAGCACCTTAACCTCTGAGTCAGAGCTGCCTCCTCTATGAAACAGGCACTCTACACTCTCTACCCACTTAGGTATGCTTATGAGGGAGAAATGAGATAATACAAGTAAGGAGCACATTGTCTGAATTGTATCTTGTGTTCAATAAAACTTAGCTATTATTATTTTTATGATTTATAGAAAGCAAAAAGAAATTGTTTTAGAAAAAAAGCACTAGAACATACAGCCAGTGGCCCAGGGTCTTGAGCAAGTCACCAGACTTCTCTGGAGCTGTTTCCTCGTGGGTGATGGGGCGGGAGTTGTGGCCGCGTCACACACTGGCTCTGAGGGATAAATGAGAGCAGGGTGGGAAAGCACCGTGGAACCACAAAGCAATCAGCAGACAGGGCTTCTTGTGACTGACACTCCCAGCGCCTCGTCCACTGCACAGTAGTAACACAGCTACCATGGTCTGACGACACTGCCTTATCCCTGCGTAAGCCCCACCAGAACGTGTGACAGAGGATTTACTAACCTCCTTTCCAGATGATGAAACCGCGGCTCAGAGAGGTTAAGTAATTTGCCAAAAGCCACAGAAGTAGTAAGTAGTAGAGTGAGGATTGGAAATCCCAAGCCTTAGACTGCAAACCTCTGGGCTGTTCGGGCTCGTGGGGGAGGAAGCTCACCTGCACGACACAGGAAGGAAATCCTTAAAGCCAGAGAAGTGAGTGGTCCCTCACCATCCCCTCTTGGGTGAGCAATGAGGACAGGGAGAACAATGATGACCCACCTCCCGCCCCAAGGATCTGCTTTCACCACATCCCAACAACGCCCCCCTCCCGCCCCCGCCCCATGACCACTGTCCCTGATAACACACAGTGCTTTGGGTTTCCATCTGAGCTTCACAGTTCCCTATAGGAATGCGGGCAGACACTTCCTTTAGAGGAATGTGGGGGGCTCTAAAGGACTACACGGGGAAACTATCAAAACTACATCCAATCCTGCCCCCACCCGCACAATCAGGCCCCAAGCCATCAGACCAGGAAGCGTCGAGCCCGAGGCCGGCTTACACACTTCTTAGATGAGAAAGGGAACTGCTGTCCGCCCGCTGGGCGCCCATCGCGGGGCTGGGGCCTGGACCTTCCGGCTCCTCACCTCTTTACTGCTTCAGGAAGCAGGCGTGAGTGCTCCTCCTCTGTGCGTCAGGCAACTCCTGCTCACATAGCTGATAGGGAGGAGAAGGGAACTCGGAACCTGGCCCAACTCACCCGAGACTCCTGCTCTGTCATTCCGCCATGTTGCCCCCTTGTGTGCTGGGGTTGTCTACTAAAAACCCAACAAGGTCAGGGAGCCACACTCAGTCTAGAAGACGTGAGCAAGTGTAACCAAACATAAATACATAAAACAGTGCAAAAATACCATGAAAACAGAAGGGCCGATCTGAGGTTGTGCTAGCAGGGAAGGGCCTTGACTAACCCAGGAAGACTTCCCGAAAGTGGCAGTGTTCTCCCCAGGCCTGCTTTGACCTCTCTCTCCTCACAGTGTATCTGGGTGGTGAGCTTCCTCTCCTCCTTCTTCCTGAGCCTGCCGTATGGTGTGGCGGTGGGTGTCGCCTTCTCCGTCCTCGTCTTGGTCTTCCAGACCCAATTGTAAGTAACAACCCCGCCCCTCAAGGCACAGCAGGTGGGGCCTCCAGACCAGCCTGCCAAGGGCTCCCATGCTGAGGCCTGACCCAGCCCTCCACACCCTCCCGCCTTCTGGGCCTGGCACTCGAGGTGCTGCCAGGCTTGAGAAGAACCCAGCCCAGGCAGGACTGTGGGCACAGGCTGGGCTGTCTGACTTCCCATATTCTTCAAACCCCAGAGGGAGCCATCATAGGCTTGGGGGACTTGGGGACGGGGGGGCAGAGAAAGTTGGGGAAGAGCAGGTGGATTTGATTCAGCATCCTTCCAAAGGTACTGCCAGACCCCAGACCAAATGGGGCTCCACCCCAGGGGAACACCAGGCCAGAGGACAGATGCTGTGCCCTTCCTATAAAGAGATCAGGCCAGTGGGGCCAGAGGAAGGGGTGTGGGCCAGGGCAGGAAGGATGCTGAATGTCAGGGAATCCCTGTCTTCTCCTCTTGAGAACTGGGAACCAGGAAGTGGTGACTTCAAGGCCACTTAAGCTTGTCACCTTAAGACATGTACCCCTACGTCTTCTCTCCCCTGAGCCCTGATCTGGGAATTATGTCAAGGGCCTGCCTGTCATCCCTCTAGCTATAGCCCAGTCGCAGGCCACAGGCACACATCTGCAGTGCAGAAAGACAAACAGAGCAAGCCGAGCCCGGGGGTGAGGAAGGGCCCCTCTCCTGCCCTGCCTCTGCCCCAGCCCCCACCCCCACCATTGTCCCAGGCCCACTCACTATTAGCATCCTCTTAGGTTTTTCTTTTCCTTCTTCATCCAGTCGAAATGGCTACGCTTTGGCCCAGGTCCTGGACAGTGACATTTATGTGAATCCCAAGACCTACAACAGGGTGGGTAATCCAAGCTTAAGACCTCCCTCTTTTTTTTTTTTTTTTAAAGATTTTATTATTTCCTTTTTCTCCCCAAAGCCCCCCAGTACATAGTTGTATATTCTTCGTTGTGGGTTCTTTTAGTTGTGGCATGTGGGACGCTGCCTCAGCGTGGTCTGATGAGCAGTGCCATGTCCGCGCCCAGGATTCGAACCAACGAAACACTGGGCTGCCTGCATCAGAGCGCGCGAACTTAACCACTCGGCCACGGGGCCAGCCCCAAGACATTCCTCTTTTGCCCTGCCCCCACCCCAAGAAGAGGAGGGTTTTAAAAAAAACAAAAGCCAATAAAGCACTTCTGCTACCTGAGCTCAGTCTCTCCATTACAGGTCCAGGAAATCAAAGGGGTCAGGATTGTCACTTACTGCTCCCCTCTCTACTTTGCCAACTCGGAGATCTTCAGGCAAAAGGTCATTGCCAAGGTAAGACCTAGTCCTCTGGTGACCAGAGTGGCTGGACAGAGAATGGCCAGAAGATGGAAGAAAGGGTGCTGGGAGCCAAGAGCAGGCTGCCTCCCAAGAGGGCGGAGGTCAAGATTGCTGCTGGCTCTCTCCCTGCAGACAGGTGTGGACCCCCAGAAAGTGTTGCTCGCCAAGCAAAAGTACCTCAAGAGGCAGGAGAAGAGAAGGATGCCCACACAACAGAGGAAGTCTCTATTCATGAAAACCAAGGTGAGCTGAGTCCAGGAACAGCCCAGTCCTCTCCCCTGCCCTCTCTGGTTTTACCCCCCGATGTCCCACCTGCCAGCACCCTTCGAGGCAAAGACTTAAAGTCTCTGTGACCATTGCCTGGTGGCCACTGGGAATTCTTCTTCTTCAGTGAGGGGCTGTCAGCTCCTGGGGTAACCAAGGATCTCCCATGCCCCCCCATTTTCTGGCTAAGATAGGATATGGCCCATGGACTTAGGAACAACCCCAGAAGGGGAGCAGCAGTGAATTTCCTGGGGTACCCAGCCAACCCAGAGCAGCAAGGTGGAGGCAGTGTGGGAGTTCTGGGGAGAACCAGGCAGGCAGGACAAATGCAAAAAGGAGCTCAGTTGTCTCCAAAGGGGCTTCCTGGCTGAGCAGAGTGGGCTGAGGCTTCAACACCTCCCTCGGAAGGGTACTCTGACCTTGCCTGGGTCATGGGAGACCAAGCGCGCAGGTCCTGCCTAAAGAAAGGCCTTTGGGAGATGCCTCGCCCGGGGGTGTTGGGGGCTTGTATTCACCAAGATCAAGTTCAGTCGTTCTCCACCTGCATGCTGCTCGCCCCTGCTTCAACCCCGCAAAGCCTGATTCGGGCTGTGGATCCCTGACTGCCCCACCCCCCGCCCCCCAGACTGTCTCCCTGCAGGAGCTGCAGCAGGACTTTGAGAACGCCTCCCCGACCGACCCCAACAACAACCAGACGCCTGCTGATGGTGCCAGTGTGTCATACATCACCTTCAGCCCTGACAGCTCCCCGGCTGCCCACTGTGAGCCACCAGCCGCTGCGGAGATCCCCATTGAACCCAGTGACATGCTGGCCAGTGTCCCACCCTTTGTCACCTTCCACACCCTCATCCTTGACATGAGCGGGGTCAGCTTTGTGGACTTGATGGGCATCAAAGCCCTGGCCAAGGTGAGGCCCTGGGGCAGAGGGAGCGCAGGCCCACCGCCAGCCTCTCACCCACGCCCCTGCTCTCCCACGCTCCCTTTCCTTGGAGCATTCACTTCAACAAGCTGAGGGAGGAAGCTCGCCAAAGAGGCCAGTGGCTCCTAAGGATCCCTCCTTCCCCCAGATGTGACCAGAAAAGACGCTCTCCGCAGAGCAGGCCCAGGCAGCTTGAGGCAGTGAGTGGCTGCAGAGGGAGACCAGGGCTCCAGGCCCCGCTGCTCCACCTGGGCCTAGCACCCCTCTCTAGCCACCTCGAGTTCTCTCGCAGGCCACCGGAAACCCACCCCAGGGTCCTCTGAGGAAAGTCCAGCTTGACCATGATTCACGGTCTGCTGTTCCTTCCCACACGAATGCAGACACTCTAGGATCAGCTGGCTCTGGCCAACTGAGCAGAGAAGAACTGATATCAGTGCCCCACCTTCTCGGACCATACAGGCAGCCCACGGGACACCTTCGATAAATGTACGCATCTGATAACTTTTGGGCGGACACCTCCAATGGCAGGGACTCAGCAAACAGCAGAGCTGGCTCAGACAGAGGCAGCCCAGAGAAACTGAGGGGAACAGAGAGCACACAGGCTGACATCGCCCTCAGCCATGTGCACAGAAGGCTCCACCCCCAAGCCGGGGCTCAGCTTCCCCAGCCTGGACCTGGAGTCCAGGTGGCCCTGGGCTGAAGCCCTAGCCTCTCCCGCCTCAGTCCTCCCCTCCAGCTTCTGCCTAAAGCCACAAAGTTGGGAAAGTGGTGGAGTCTGAGAATCCAAGCTACTGGAAGAAAAGATCTGGCCCCGTCAGAAGGGGCCATGGGGACTTTAAGTGCCCGCCTCTCTGGCAAAGCCCATTTCCGCCCCACTTTCCATAGGAGACCTCAGCCAACACTCCAGGGAGAAGTGGTGCTTCGCTGCTATTTTTATCTTTGACTGCCAGGGCTCTCAGGATTGCTTATTTGTTTGGCTTCCCCTCTGAAGTGCGTTTTGTGAGTCACTTTTGAGACCCACTCAGAACATTCCTTTCCTTTTGTCTCCCTACCCCACCGCTCTCCCCAACACGTCTAGCTGAGCTCCACTTACGGGAAGATCGGCGTGCAGGTCTTCTTAGCGAACATTCACGGTAAGAGAAGGAGGACATTCCGGGCCTGGGTGAGGCGGGGGGCAGGCTCGTGGGACGCTGAAGACAGAGGGGGTGGAAATGAGAGCACCCAACATCCCCCCAAACTACTGCGTGCTCAGAAGAGCTTGAGACACAAGTCAGAAGAGACGGGCCAGACTGCGTGACCACATAGGGGGCTCAGTAATTATCCAGGGGAAGTACAGACACACAGCTGTGTACACGTGCAGTCTCCAAAGGGCACGTACGCACAGCCCCGAGGACACGTCCACATAGCAGCGGGTTTCCATGTCGTAGCCCGGTGTAGAGTGCAGGGGACATGCGGCAGGTACACACACACACACAGGAGAATGTGGAGGGGCACACACTCACACACCCAACTTCCCGCGGGGTCAGAGCCGTCCCGGTGGGCCTGCCCGACTTCAGGGCTGCCTGAGCACATCCCAGTCTCCGTGGAGGCCCCGCTCAGGGAGGGAGTCTGCAGTGTCCACGAGCTGCTGTGCATGTGCTCCAGAGCTCAAATGGGAAGACTCCTCTCACCCTCGCTGGACACTCCTCAGGAAATCATCTCAGGATCTGGTAGGAGTGAGGCCTCTCCCACCCACTGGAGACTACAGGAAAGGTCTGGGTAAACAAGAGGACAGACCCTCAGGGGACAGAATTGGCAGCTTCCTCATGGACGTTTTAGCCTGTCCCTCTCAAATCCCCACAAAGTGCCGACTCCCTGAATCAAACTGCTTCCTTCTGCCCTGGGTTGAAGGTGCGGCATCCTCAAGCTCATGCTGCCCTCTGCTGACCGAACTGACATTGCAAGGCAATGCCGAGGCCCTAGGGTGCAGCGGGAGCGCGGCCCTCAGGCCTCTCTCTCCTCCACTCACACCGTCCTCCCCCACGCCAGCTCACACCCGCAGTGGCCGTTGTCTTTCTGAAGGTGACCCTTTCCTCCTTCCAGCCCAGGTGTACAATGACATCAGCCACGGAGGCGTCTTTGAAGACGGGTGTCTACAGCGCAACCACGTCTTTCCCAGCATACATGATGCCGTCCTCTTTGCCCAGGCCAACGCCAGAGAAGTGGCCCCAGGACGTGACTTTCAAGGGGTAAGGTCCCCGCCCCTGGGGAATCCTAGGCCCCAGGGCACTGAAATAGCAGGACCAGGAGGCATTAGAAAGAACACAGGAGGAGGTTTGAGTTCCAACACCAATTCCGTCATTTAACTTTTCTGAGTCTCAGTTTCCTTATCTGCAGAATGGGCACCCTAAACTAACGCCCTAAACTAATACAACCTACCTCACAGGGTGTTTCTTTTATTTTTGCTTTAAGATTAACTGATAATTATGTCTTTTATGTCACTGGAAAGTGCTTTGCATATTGGAAAATCCTCTATTAATATTCATTTCTGGATCACACAAACACTCAAAGCACATTAGGTTGTGCCCAGGACTCTGGCATTGCTCACCCCTGCCCGCTCCTTCACTCTTTCTAGAAGAGGCTATGGGGAAGGGCAGCGGGTGAGCCTGCCTGTTCTAATTTAGCGGAGCTTGGAGATTTCAGGCTGGTGACGGATGAAGAGGCTGGATCCAAGTTTTGTCTCAGCTCCTTGACATTTAATTTACTAGCTCAGTAAGTGGTATGCAAATGAGCTACAAATAACACTGTCGAGGACTCCAGAAAGCTGAGGAGTCAGCAAAAGCCCACCCCGTTGGGGTCCCTGCCCAGGCCTCCCCAGCCACCCCTACCTCCCAGGGTCCCCTCCCAGCTCAGCCTCTGCCCTCGGCCTCCCAAGACTCTGAGCCCCAGCCCTCGATAAAATCCTCCTCCGCCCTCTGTAGGTCGTAAGAAAGGCTTTTCTGGCCTGAGAGCAACCATTTGCTCTTTGCTTTAAGAGACGGATGAAGGTGAAGCCATGTGTTCCAAGCGCTGAAAGCCTGCCCGGGAAAACACGGGGCCTTGGCGCCCGCCCTCCACAGTCGGAGGGGGACGGTGCAGGCGCAGCGGCCTGTCTGGCTCCATGAACCTTGTCCACAGAGCAAAGTCAGGGAGATTCTAGAAGAATCCTCGTCATTTGTTATTGCACAAATAATGTCCAGTTATTACCAGTTATATATTTTAAAGAATTTATATTATATATTTACATATTACAGAATATATTCATATACATAAATTGCACACACACACGCCTTTTTCATACTGAGGTAGAAAGTCAGCAAAACGAGTTTGATTATCCTACTTTTACAGGAAACAGATTCCCCAAGAAGGGAACCGGATTCCCTGAGCTCAGGCAGCTAGCCCTCATCTTCTAAACCGCCCCCAAGGGCGGGCTACATTCTGTGAGGCAGGGGAGCGGGGAGAGGGGAGGGACGGGGCAAGAGGAGGACTTATGCGTTGGAAAACACGGTGCCCACCCGGAGCCTGCCCTTTGTGCCAGACATCGTCATTCTGCCCTGGAGCTCATTCTGCACCTGTCTCCCCTCCAGGCTGCAGTGGACCCCGAGCTCTCCTTGGATGGCTCCGAGGACAGCCCCAGCTACTGGGACTTAGAGCAGGTACGCTGAGGCGGTGGGGGGGGGGGGGGGGG